ACAGTTATCAGAAGTTGATTATCAGCATCACCTATCGTCCTCCGGAAGCGGGGGAGAATCTGTACATTATCCATTTAATCTTCTTCCTGATCAACCAGTTGGTATGAACAACTCCTTCACAGAAGGGCCTTTTAGATCTAATTCCAGAGCATTTGTGGAAGATTTATCAGAGTTGGAGGGAAATAATTGGAAGAAACAGGGAGTGAAAAGCTATGAAGGCAACATGGGAGAACAAGAAGAAACATCAAGGGATCTTCGTAGTAATGCCCATAGCAGGCAGAGTTCACTTAGCAGTGCTGGTAATTGTTCAAATAATCTTGTTTCTTAGTTAGTCTCATCTTTATTTTGGACGAATTTTAAACACTTTTGATGGTACAGGTGGAGGCGGGAGTTTTTACAGCTCTGAGACAGGGATAGATAAACCACTTGGAGAAGAGGTTTCTAATGGGAGGTAATTTTCTTATCTTTTTCCTTTTATGTGCAATACTATTATTCGAATGTGTGTGTGTGAGAGAGCGAGCGACAGAGAGAGAGAGAGAGAGGTACTTTATGTTTATTTGTTTGGTTATTTATAACTTTGCATGAACTTGTAGCCTCGTGTGCGTCATTTTGAATATCCGTTATTCTCAAGTGATGCGCTATTAGCTGGTTCATTATGAGATGACCGAGTCAATTTCATTACCTATATGTTGCATATACACTATCGCTGTAGTGTGCACGTAAAGGATATTTCCCAATGATTTTGCACGTTCTAAGTTCTATGATAGACCTCTCTCTCTCTCTCTCTCTCTCTCTCTCTCTCTCTCTCTTTTAGCTACTTTGGTGATTTATAGCACAGATGATGTGTTTGAGATGTCAATCTGATTGTAACTTTTGATGGTCCATTCACAGACTGCCTTCTATTGTAACCAAAGGGTATGACAATGCTTTGAATAGACGCCGAGTTTTATCTTCCCAGGACGTTTTGTCTGAAGCAGCACTTCCTTTACCTGTCAAACAAAGAAATCCAGCTGCAACCCAGGTCTCTGAAACTCAAGCATGTAGCAGGAATGATGCGCAATTTAGGAGGACTTCGTCTTACAGTGACACATCTGTGTCCGAGACATCATTCATAGACATGCTCAAGAAACCAGTCATTTCAGAGGCTGATGCGGCCAACAGAGCAGCTGCACTGGAATCGTCTGATGGAGGTGGCCAAGCGGGGCGCACTGGCAAGAAGAAAGGGAAGAAAGGAAGACAGATCGATCCTGCTCTACTCGGCTTTAAGGTTACCAGCAACCGGATCTTGATGGGTGAGATCCATCGCCTTAACGATTGACCCATGTTGTACGACCTGTAATGTTTTTCGTTCTCGGTATAAAAACTGTACAGCTAATTTAAGAGACATGGTTATCTCAGATTTTTTTCCCCCTTCTTAGTTTTCCAATCCTCTGGATACCAAGGTAGAACATTTACATAGTTAAAGAACCGTTGCAGTCATTGACCGGATGTATAGTGTAAATTGAGAAACAAAGTTCACTGACAAATGTCAATTTTTGTACGACAGAATCGTAAATTTTATTAGAAACCAATTTCCCTTAATTTCTTTTATTTATTTTTAATTATTTTTATTATTATATTAATTTTTGGTGCGTTGACGGACTAAAACTTTACCATTCAACAGCAAGCAGCGTTTTAGGATTTATACAGGGTTTGGTGAGCCGACAGACGAAAACTTCACCATTCAACCGGAAGGGGTGCTAGATGAATTGCGGAGCAATCAAATTATCATATACATGCAATGATTGCTGTGAATTATAATATCCAACCGCCAACTTCTACGATCTAAATTGAACCTCTGGTCTGAGCAACATAAACTAGAGCATTATTGTTTGAGACCTGATATTTCCCGGATTGTTTGAAGTAACTGCAGAGTTGGCTCTGGTCTCGAAGAAGAAGACAGGGATGCTAAAAGTTCAGCTGATATAATTTGCAACATCGAGGGTGCGGTTTGTCGAACCCATTTAATGTGTTCAATGGCAACCGGAATCTCTTCGGCGTCAGCTAAATACTTCAGCAAAGTTACATGGGAATCGGACTGTGTTACATCATGGCTGATGCCGCAGAGTAACTTAGAAGCAGCAAGAAAAAGACCTGCACAGAGCAGAAACGCATAAGCAACAAGCCAAAACATTTGAAACCACCGACTCTGGCACTCCGCGCTGGACGTTTATTGGCGAAGCATGAAGGTAAATGATGTGAAAATTGAAACGTCCATTGCGTATAATCATCGGTACAGAAGATACCTGTTTTGCACAAAGAATGAGTAAATGCACCCAACACAGTCTGTGCAAGCATCATATCCTGTTGAACAGACTTGTTAAAAACGTCGAAAGCGGCTTCAACCTTCTTTTCTTGGCAAAGCCCTTCAAGTAGAGAAATGTAAGTCATCGTGTCTGGTGCAACCCCTTTACCCAGCATGTGGTAAAGGAGCCTCTGAGCCTCGTCTACCTGGCCTACTTCCGAAAACTTATGTATTAGGATATTGTAAGTCTTCAAGTTTCCGTTGCACCCAGTTGCAAACATCTCGTCCCATAGCCTTTTAGCAGGCCTCAACAGATCCTCCCTACAGCATGCTTCAATAAGAGAATTGTAAGTCAAAATGTCCGGGCCTAACCCATTTTTCCTCATCTCCTGAAGAGCGCCATAGGCTTCTTTCACCATCCCTGCTCTGCACAAGAACGACACCATCACATTGTAAGTCTCCAAATCTCTGAAATAGCCGCCGGATGATAGAACTCGAAAGACTTCCAGCAAGTCATCACTTTTGTCATGCTTACACAGATTCCTACTCAAATTGCTCAAAGTCAAAAGAGTTGGGAACCTCTCTTTTCCAACCATGAATTTGAAGAACACTAACGCCGAGCCAGGATCAATTGCCGACACTGATCCTATCAAGACATTGAGAACATCATCGTCAATCGGAAAATTCCCGCTAACAATCACTTCTCCCAACTCTTTTGCTTCACATATCCGCCTCTCTGAAATCAAATCAAATATGAACCCTCTATAATCATTAGTCCTAGGAGCTACACCTAGCTTTCTCTTCTTCTTCAAAACCTTTTCGGTACCAACTACGTCCCCAGTTAACCGAAGTGCTTCGGCGACAATCCTATACGCCATGAAATCAGGTTTGCACTCTCTACTCCTCAGCTCATCCAATACCCAAAAAGCCTCTGATACTCTAGAAGCCTGACAAAGACCGTGAACAACCAAAAGAGCTATAACGGAGCCGTTAATCTCCGAACCACCTCTCCTAACCTCATCTAACATGCTCAAAATTTTACCCAATTCAGCATTTCCACAATGTCTCCATATAAAAACACCAAAACCAACTGTGCTCAAGGGGACAGCTTTAAGAGTCATTTCATCAAACACCTTCTGGGCATACTCAAAATATCCATCTGAAGCTAGCGCAGCCAACAATGAGTTACAAATCTCATGCCCAATATCTCCAATTAGGGAGGAAACCTCACTGAAGACCAAAAAAGCGTTGTGGGTTTTCTTTGCAATGATAAATGAAGCAATTACGGATCGATAAACCGAAGCATCGAGGCTGATCTTCTGGACTTTGATTTGCTTGAGGAGAGCATCAATGGAGTTGAATTGGCGGGAAAAAGAGAGCGACTTGAGGACTGATCGGAAGGTGAGGGATGTGTGGGAGAAGGAAGGTTGCTGGGAAGCCCAGTTGAAGAAGCCGAGAGCGAGCGAGTAGTGGTTGAGGAGGAAGGGGTCGATAACTCGGGCCACGAGTGAGGGGCTCAGTGAGTCGCGGCAACCGAGGCGGTGAAGAATGGTCTCGAGAGAAGGATCCCATGAGCGAGTCGGCCTTGTGTGGTTGGAAGCGGAGATCAGAACCCGGCTTATTCGACTGGCTAGCTCCGTTGCCGACGAGGCTTTCATTGGCGGAAACCGAGCTGGCGACAATGGCGAGGCCTCATCAGCAGCGATGCTGTAAATACACTTTCAGCTCTACTGGTATTTTCATTGGTTAATACTCAACTAAAATTACTAATTTGACTCGATAAAAAAAGTTTAAAACCGCTCCCAAATAACTTGTAACAACTTTTTCAAATGGAGAGAGGGTCCTCGTCGGATCCTTTTGTGAGGATTCTCGTAATGCTTGAGAATTTTTCAATCATATATGTTCATTGTATATTGTACAATTAATTTTTATCAGGTATTATTTATATTTAATTTTAAATAAAAAAATTACAATAATTTCTAATCGCACGATGTATAATGAACAAATATGATTAGAGCACGATTCTAATGAGAATCCTCTAGCTTTCAAATGCATACACGAAAACTCACGTTTTCAGTGCTTGTAAAAATTTAACATATAGTCTATTTTTTTACACTTTGAAATTACTAGAAGTTTTTTAAAATTCATACAAGACGTTTGAAAGATGTTATGATTGGGAGAAATTTGTCCTAGTTATGATGATTACTCTTTTTCAGCTTAAAAATTCAATAAAATCTACAAATATAATAGTAAATAATAAGATTGTATTCAAATAACTTAAGTTTGAGCTATACATCTCAATTTTTATTGGTTTTGTAAATTTCTTAAAATAACATCATAAAACCTATTTCATGATGTTTTTGCCTCACTAGGCCCTCAAGCATATTAAAAGTAGAAATCAGTAGCAACAACAACAAAACATTATCCTACTCAATAAGATCTGTTGTTTGAATCTTGGAACGTCACTGCAGCCATGTACCTTGGAAATCAGAAGGATAAGTAAAAATGTTGAAAGTAAACCAAGATGAAGTCGACAACGTCAATGCTACGGAAACCATCCATCACAAAGTTGAAAACGCATCAAATCTATCATCTTAGGCAGACAATGAGAGCAATTTAATCTACAATATTTACATTATTTCCTCATTGAGCTATGTATGAATGTATACGTACAATCTTCTATCTTTTTACAACCTCTGTAGTCTGTACACCACACTATACAATTACAATATATATATATATATATATATCTTTACAAATGTTTACATTATTTCCTCATTGAGCTATGTATGAATGTATCTGTACAATCTTCTATCTTTTTACAACCTCTGTACACCAAACTATACAATTACAATATATATATATATATATCTTTACAAATGAACAAAATATACAAACCCAACCACTATCTTGACAGTATCCAGAGTGGTTTCTGGGTTTCTTCTTCCTATATACAGCTTAAGACGTCTGGTAATTTTGTTCTTTTTACAGTGTTTACTTTCCAGAACATTGAGAAACTAAGAGTAGGATCGAACCAACTTAAGGGGCTGGAAACTTCGAGCTTTGAATAAGTTTCCGAAGAGATATCCCATTGTTGTCCCTTGAGGAGGCTTTGGTGCAGGGCTTGAGTTACACTTCACCTGCAGTATGGTCTGCCCAATCTGTCTGCGAACTGAATCGATAATCTTGGGGTCTACTGGGCTTCCTGTAACGTCCGTGACATAGAATGTGTCTATTGCTTTTCCACTTTTAGTTGAAATTTCTGCTCGTGTGACACGCAAACTGTTCTCTCTGAATATCCGGGTGATATCTGAGAGAAGTCCGACCCGGTCATCTGTGCACAGTTGTAGCTCCAGGCCCTGCATGGTAAAGCAACATGTGTTGGTAACTTCGTGGACATGAAAACTGAACATGAGGGTTCTCGTCAGGTAAAAGTTCACCGCACCTCAGATGCCCGCCTTTCAATGGCTGCTTCAAGGCACTGTACAACACGTTCTCGCTCAGCTTCTGAGTTGATAGGAAGCCCATCAACATGTCGAATGTAAAATTCCTAAAAAGAAAAATACCCCATGTGTTAGACGGAAATGAGATCCACAACCCAAAGAGCGAAAATTGCAAATGAATGTCTGCCATTTGATCATTATGTCAAATCCAGCCGTGCTTTGCTCGCTTTGCAAACCAGAACCATTACATCAGACCAATTTCAATAGGAATTTATCTTCTTACCTGATAAGCTTCCGTCCTCCCTGTATTGACCATTCCGTGAAAAACCACATATTGCATGTCTGTTAAAGTGCAGATGATGTCAAATAACAACTTTGGTCGATCTTTTGACCTCATGGTAATGACAGTGTAATCCTTCTGGCTGCAATCCAACGCGGTTACATGGGGTTTTGAGCCCTTATCCTCAACTCTCCTTAGTTCTGCTCTTTCAACCCTTTCATAATCCCTGTCAGCAAACATAATCTGATGCAACCTTCTATCTCTGTTTGTAACTCCAGGGGTTGCAAGTGTCATTTTAGCAGCCTTCAACTCACTGTTTACTTTGAGGACATTGCAAAGCAACTCCTTAATTGTAGCGAGACGAATTGGATCTTCAATTGCGCAGCCAGTGGAATCATCTGTGACATGAACTACAGCTGCAGCTCTAGCGTTGTGTGTCCATATCTCAGCATTTACCACATTACAGTGAAGGTCTGCAAGAACCGCACACACTTCAGACAATAAGCCAGGCCTGTCGGTACCACTGAGCTCAATGGAGGTGTACTCTTCTGAGGGCATCATGCCAACGGAATCTCTCATAGAGGGTACAAAGCCACCATTGCTTTCAAGTCTCTGCAAAATAAAAAAGTGAAATGAAAAATGACGACCTTTTCCCATAGGTCTATATATCTTGGTCCAGGAAAAGATCATAGACAATGCAGAAAGGTAGGCGACAGATGCAACAACATATCTATTTTAGTTTTGAAACAGCTTTCCTTAAACAAAACTGAAATTATAGCATAAATTAGATGCCAGAGGAAATCATGTTTTTCTAAACGACGATTTGTCATAAAACATTAAACGATTTACTTTGTCTCTTCCCATCAGAAATCTAGGAAAACGACCTTAAATCCAAGAACTTAATTGCCTTATCATCATCTTCAGAAAAAAGAACATAAAGACATAAAGTTTGTTTGCTACTCTTTTCCCGACTTCTTAACAGCCAGAGGAACTGCAGTAGGAACGAATCCTTACCATTTGAATATAATTGATAATGTCCTTGTCTCTGATTTTTTTCCCTTCACGGTCAATCACATTAAACACTGAAAAACAGAAAATTCAGAAAAAGACTTGATAAACTAGAAGAAGAGAAACAAAATACAGAAAAATGGAAAGCTTGAGCCTTGACTTTGGAAGTTGGATAAAAAAACCTTACCATCCATGAACCATACACCATCAGATGAGATATAAGCTTTGGTTATTACAAGGTTCACGTCGGCGAGCACTTGGACAACATCCAGCAGAATTCCATGTTTGTTGACACTGTCAACCTAATCAAAATTTGAAAGGAAAAAAAAAATGTTCAATTGGATATTCAAATCTTCACCGAATTCTTCGCACCAATATACATGAACGAAATCAACAAATACATCTCATAAGACAACATAAAAAGTAATGATCAGAAGGTACAAGCAGCCTCACCTGGATAACGGTGGCATCCTCGCAATAATCGTTATCGATCACAACTCTGCAAGAACAACGAGCAGATCAGATGAAGCTTCTTGCTTTCTTTACACACTTCAAAGAAGAGGACAATCAAATCAAGAACAACGGGCAAATCAGATGAAGCTTCTTGCTTTTTCATACACACTTCAAAGAAGAGGACAATCAAATGGGACAAACCAAGTAGTTTCCTGAAGAGGGGGGGTCCAAATTAAAAAAAAAAATTCATATGCCCATATAGGCTCCAAAATTAAACCCTTGGCCTTTTTAGCATACAGGAAACGATTTTCGCATACTCATTTTCTCCTTCTACACACACCCTATTGAAGTGTTTATTTCTGTCCCTTCATTCTCTTTTGAATAATTCAATCCAAAAACCATAAACAAACAAATTGTGCAGAGGAGAAAATGTGCGTGCGGAAATCACTTCGCGTACAATTCATGGAAAGGGAAGAGATGGGAAAGAAAAGTCAGCTGCCCATAAGTCCTCTATGTAAAACTAAAATTCAATCACAAAACGAAAATTAAAAGAACACATCTTTACTTTCTGAATCAAAGAAGAAGAAGACTCAACAGGAAAGGAAGGGAATGATTGTTACCCAAGTTTTACTGAAACAGGTAAAAGTTCTGCTTTTTCATCAACCAAACGGTACAAAAATCAAAACTTGAGAGAACAAAGAACACATGGATTATATCAGAATCGTAACCGGAGAAAACAAAATAATTCAACAGACCCTTTATCTTAAAAACGAAAACAAACAAAACCCAGAAACCAAAAAAGCATAACAATTTACCAGAAAACAGAAAATCCCAGAAATATTAGGGGAAAATACCTCGGTGGGTTCATCCTCCTGACGAACTTGGCGTACTCATCATCCATTTTTCTTTCCTCTCTTCCAAATCCACCGGAGATTTCCGAGCAACCCAAGACCTCAAACCAGACCGAATTTAGAAAAACACCGACAATCTTACACTTGAGAGTACATGATTTTAAGAAAGATACTATATACAACGATGCCGCCTCCAACAATCAAGGAAATATCCACCCCACTGAGAGAGAGTGTGTTTTAAACAAGACCAACGGAACGAAAGGTGCTGAGCGGGGCAGCGGGCAGGACGGGCAGGGGGCCGTGGGGTCCGAAAAACCCGTTCGAAGGGCAAAAGAGTACATCGAAAGCTGTACTTTCGTGACTTGTCGAATTGTGATTGGCTTGGCCAGCGGTCAGTTGCAGCCCGCGGTCCATTGGCTTGTGACGCTCTTTCGAGAGGACTCGTGATTTTTCAACGATTGCTGATATTTTGGGCATGGTATGGGCGTCCGTACAATTGGCCGGGAGGGATTCCAATGCCACGTGACTTTTTGGCGGTGAGTTGACACGAGGCACGTGTTCGTTACAATTTGGTCGCAGATTTGCCGGTATTTCTGGCGTCAATTCCAGCGTGAGTGCCTGGTTTCCTGCCCACGGAAATCATATGCCGGTTGCCCACCTTATTTTGCAAATTAACAGTTGAATAAGAAAAAGAAATTATTAAGTGCTATTGAATATTTATGCAAAGTGAAGAAAAAGACTATTTGATGTAAAATCAAGAAAATATTATTGATGCATGAGCACCTAACTTTATTATCTGGAAGAATACATATTTCTGCTTAAATTTATAGTTTAAAGTTACGTCTGAAATACGGTCACGTGACGTTACTGTTACAGTCAAACTTTAATATGTACTTTCGTTTTAATAATGATTAATAATTTGTAAAAGTGAAACATATCAACCATATTATCCAGCATCATCAACGTTGTTAAATATCCTACATCAGCCAGAGAAAGAAAGAAAGAAAAAAGAGTTTAAATATCTTAACCTCACTTTAACTATTACCGATGCATTTTGTGATAAAATCTCACACCTAAGAGATTGTGTAAGTGGTAATTACCTAGTTGGGGATGATATCAGTGTTGTTGGAAGTAGTTTTTGGGCTGTCTTTCTGATAATTCTACAAGGTATTAGAGGAGTGGGCCAGTATATCCTAACCCTATCCAACTAATACTGAGGCATTTTTGTAATAAAATGCCACACTTGACAGATTGTGCAGGTGATAATTATCAAGTGAAGGACAATATCAATGTTTTGTTGGAAGTGAGTCTTTGGTCGATCTCTCTGATAATTTTACAAGCGTGACATAGTACACTACTTAGCTTGTTCTATCTAAGACTCTCACACACAAGTGTGTGCATTAATGTTTTATTATTATTATTTTGGATGCATGCATGGATATGTATTGCGTACAGTATAATACTTATATATATATTTTTAATTTAACTGTGTTTATACCATATTTAGGGCTTTCGTATTTAGATCTCGTACAAATACTTGAGGGACTTAAATGTAATTATGTAATAAAGGAATGGGCAAATATGTAATAAGTAAGGAGTCCTTAGTCTATAAAATGACCCATCACCCTCACAATTAGGGAGAGGCCAATTCCTAGGCCTTCTCACCCCCTCTCAAAGCTCTCACTCTCAGAGCTCTCTTTCCCTCACTTCTCAGATAAATACATAATCAGTGTGGACGTAGCCCAAACCTTGGGGTGAACCACGATACCTCTTGTGTTATTTACATTTCATGCAGATTCACGGTCGGATTTCCGTTGTACCAAGACCTCCGGTTTTGTGCATCAACATTTGGCGTCGTCTGTGGGAATCGATACAAAAAGTTATGTCGGTTCTCTTTCATTTTTTCACCTCCGTGAATCTGCAAAAACCCAAAAACCCAAAGCTTTCCCAGAAAACCCACGGAGCCACCTTCTCATCCTCCTTCTCTCTCTGCAGCTTCACTTTGCTTCTTCTCAGCCCACCAAAAATCTCTCTGCTTCTCTCAGAGTACTTAGCAGTTTACTCTTCGTCTTCGTTGCTCTCAACTCAAACCACTGACCGAAACCTATATTTCGAAACGCTTCTCAGCATCCAAACAAGCCACAAAAGCAAGAAAGAGAATGGTTGGCAGTGAGCTTTAAGCTAAAGAACTTCATTCCAGGAGTTGTCATTGGCTTCATCCTTGGGTTGTTACTGGATTTATCATAGCCCAGTAAGGGTCGATCAAAGAAAAACACTGCTTCGGTAGGCTAGCTCCCACTGGCTTCATCCTTCTCTGAATCGTGTCGGTGCACAAATGGGGAAAATAAATATGGAATCTTCCCACGGCTAGCGAACCAGTTGTGCCTTTGACACAAGCAAGAACCAAATTTTCTCTCTTTCTGTCTTTGTCCTATCAGAGAAGGGAACTCCATCTTTCTTGACTCTCCGCTGAACTGACGCACAACTCCGAATCTCTATGCTGTTTTTATTTTTCGAGCTCCCCTTCACACCCAAGAGGAAGATCCACCCCCTCCCCTCGCCACTTAATATACCCAATCAATTTCACTGGGTACAGAATCGGCGAATTGGAAAAAAGATGACACCTTTCAGGTGCTGGAGAGATGAGCGCTGCTGAAGCTGCGGCGGCGGAGCAAGGTGACGATGGTGGATTCAGCTGCCAACCAAAACGCTGTGAACAGTCTTATCAATAACAGCTACGGATAAACCAACCATGGCTTCACTAAGGCAGCATGACTCTAATCCTCCTTACTCTCACTGTCTTCCCCTCACCTATTTACAGAGGAAGCACATTCCTCGTCGGTCGTCCTAAAAAACCTGACCCAACGGCACAACCTTTCTCTCTAAATTCTGAGTCAGCCAAAATCTCGGGTTAACTCGCCCGATATTTTGTTGTTTCAGAGGTCAATATGCAGGAGGCTGGAGAGGTTGGTGAGCGAGACTGGTATTGGGCCGGCAAGAACCTCGCTAGAAATTTTGTTCCCGATGAGGTCAAGGATTCGGAGGAAAGGGAACATAATGATTTGAAGTCTGGAGCTGCGTAGGAGGAACATAATGATGTGCAGTCACGTGCTCAAATTTCAAAAAAACAGAAAGTAGGGGTTACCTTTGTCAAAAGGGGACCGAGGATTCTGAAAGGCTACATGGGTCTTAGGATGAAACACTTATCTGTCCGAGCTACTCGCAAAGCATCCTTGGTTCGGTTGTTGGAGAGGCACAGTGCAAAGAGAAAGCAAAAAGAGAAAGCAAAAGAGAGAAAGCAAAAGAGAAAGCAAAAGCAAGGAATAAACACCCCACCAGAATGATGTGATTTACTTTTCTTGGCAGATGTATGATGTAATTTATTTTTCTTATCTGTCAGAGACATCTGTATAAACCTCATCAGATGGTAATAATAAAAAAATTAAAAATAAATTAAAAATAAATTTAAAAAAATGAAAATGCCCAAAATAAATGGGCTAGTATGTTGTGGAGGGCGAAGGCCCATAAGCCCAAAATAGCTCCAACCAGGCGATCGAAAGTACGTCCAACACTCCACCATTATTCGGCAACCTGCCACTATTACCACCAACCAGGTGATCAAAAGTACGTCCAGTACTCCAAAATTATTCGGCAACCTGCCGCTATTACCACCAACCAGGTGATAAAATGTACAACCCGTACTCTAAAATCATTTGGCAACTAGCCATTCATGCCACCAACCAGGTGATCAAAAGTACGCCCAATACTTCAAAATTATACATGAGCACTACTCATGTCATTCATACATAAACATTCATGAGCATTACTCATGACAATTATACATAAACATTCATGACCATAATTCATGTCAACATTCATGAGCATCACTCATGTTAACATTCATGAGCATCACTCATGACAACATCCATGAGCATCACTCATGTCAATCAACATAAACATTCATGAGCATCACTCATGTCAATCAGCTTCAAAAGCTTCACTTACAGAGCTCTAGCTTCAAAGCTTCACTTGTAAAGTCACCTACAAAGCTTCAATGCAGGGTATACAAATACCGTCCCCGAACAACCGCCACTTCGGCCCATACATGGATTCAATCTGAAGTCTCCAGCCAACATACTCTATTGACCGAAGACTTAGGGGACTACATTATGTATCATATATTGGGCCTCAACTGGGCCTCATGAAAAATACTTGGGGGACTTAGCACATTATTTATGTATTAAGGAGCGAGCCCTTATTCTATAAAAGGGACTCCCACACTTTCATTAGAGAGCACCTATTATTCATGTATTGAGGAACGAGCCCTTATTCTATAAAAGGGACTTCCTCACCACCATTAGAGAGCAATGCCGCCAGCTGAGCAACCGCTTCGCCGCGAGCATCACTCCTAACCCATCACTTATGTATTGAGGAGCGAGCCATTATTCTATAAAATGGACTCCATCACTATCATTAGAGAGCATCGCCGCTTACTGAGCAACCGCCTCACTTATGTATTGAGGAGCGAACTCTTATTTTATAAAAGGAACTCCCTCACCGTCAAACGCCACAAGCTGAACCAACCAAGGCAACATAAGCCACGAGCCTCGCAGCGTGGGCTACTTCTAGTTGAGCATCATTTCAGATTGAGCACCACCTCATATCGAGCATCAGTTCAAGACAACATATAGTTACTTCGGCCCACACATGGACTGAATTTCAAGTCTCCAGCCAAAAGACTCTCTTGATTGAAGACTTGGGAGACTACTGTTTATACCATATTTAGGGCCTCCGTATTTAGATCTCGTGCAAATACTTGAGGGACTTAAATGTAATTATGTAATAAAGGAAGAGACAAATATGTAATAAGTGAGGAGTCCTTATTCTATAAAAGGACCTCTCACCCTCACAATTAGGGAGAGCCCAATTCCTAGGCCTTCTCACCCCCTCTCAAAGCTATCACTCTCAGAGCTCTCTCTCCCTCACTTCTCAGATAAATACATAATCAGTGTGGACGTAGCCCAAACCTTGGGGTGAACCACGATACCTCTTGTGTTATTTACCTTTCATGCAGATTCACGGTCGGATTTACGTTGTACCAAGACCTCCAGTTTTGTGCATCAACAAACTGTTTAGTTGATAATATTACTCATCGTTATATACACTCATGCCTCGTTTGGCAGTTTGGACTGTATTAACTATTTTAGTCGGATATGATAAATAATCAT